AGTGTTGTTCAGCATGGGGGTGAGTAGAAAATGAAGGATAATCATGTTTTGGGTGTACTATTCCTTTAAAGAGAACAAAAATATTTAGAGTAAAACCATAAAAAAAGAGCACTTGCATACATTGTGGACTGCACAGTGCCCAGTTTTTACCTGAGTCTATGGGCCCTTATCCATGGGGTTTGCATGTTTTCTTGAATAAAAGGATTGGTTCCCTACAGCTTCCCACAGTGGTTCAATAAAATTTAGATTTCAGTGTGTGAAATGTTCTTTGTCCAATGTTCTTCATGTTGCTCTTTGATGGACTGGGATGCTTGCAACCCTGACCATTTAAAAATGCTTATCGATGAATGGATGGCTGAATGGATTAATGGATGGATGGATAAACGGATATTTGCTAAAGTAGTCCATTCTTTGCATAAGCAACTCCCGATACTTCTCATAATACAAAAAAGTGAATGTCTAAACCTTAATTTTCAAATATCCCAAATCTTTCCCCAGTGCCTTGGTAAAGCTTCCATATATCCTGAACTTTTGCAACTCTGAATCTCATCCTTTTATGTATTTTGCTTAGGTTTCATCATTTAAAAGCATAATAAAGTTGATTCCTGGTTTTCAAAATCGTTTTCAAATTAAAAGATATAGTGTTCATTTGTATTTACACCCCCATTTACTAGTCCATGTTATCTCTTTTTTGCTGCTGTTAGAATATTCTCTAACAGGTTTTCAAATGTGGAAACATATGACTCAGATGGTGTGTCCAGGGTGATAAGTGGTGTTATGACACATACGTGGGCCTTAGAGTACAGTTTTAGTCTTATCTAACTATGGGAGCTGATTAAATACTGTAGCATCAAAGTTTTCAATTTAAGGTTTTCCCACTGAAGGATTTTCTTACTTGAGCTGTGGATCTTTCCAGCTCCTCCAAAGATAAAATGACCTCTTGTTTGCTACTAATCAATAAGTTCATGGCACAATAATTATTTTACTAAATTTAAAATTAACCATGGATCTTTTTTCCACTACTCCATAGTTCTGCACTACTTTGTGTTAAATTATCACACAATATCCTTATAAAACACAAAAAAGTTAGTGTTTGCAATTAGAAAGCATGTAAAAACACACCAAGGCACTTTATGGACTTATCTTCTGTATGTTTTACATCCCTAAAACATCATATATTTGCAGTTCTGCCAGGCCACACATCTTAATCCTATTCTTCAAATTAAGATGTGGCTGGTGTTTCTTCAAAATGCCCTTCAGTTATTGCCTGACTCCTTCCAGTTCAATGATATGAGCAGCATGATTGGTAACGAGCAGAGAAAATAGCTACAGAATCATGGAATTCACTGTGAACAGCAGTCGGACTCCCCTGGGATGCTTGGAGACCCAGAAGCAGAGCTTTGCTTTAATGTGAAAATACACACACACAACGACCCCACACACACAGACTCAAACTTATCTCACTATCTTTGCGGGGCCTGTCCATTGACTTCCATTAATTTCTACAAACCCTTACCCTAAAGCTAATCATTACAGGTTCACACCTAACCCCAACCTAAACACAATTCCCATCGTAGTCCTAAAAGTGACCCATTACACAAAAACAGCAATTTTCCTTGTGGGGTCCAGGCGTAGTGCCCCAAAAGGAGCAGTTGGTCCTCAGATTGTGCTATATTTTCAGAAAATGGGCCCCACAGTGTATAAAAACAAGAACATACACGTACCCACCCAACTAAGAGACTTCTGAAATATCAATTGCATATCACTTCTATTGAATAGAAAAACTACTTCTTTGTTTAACAATTGTGTTTTTTCTTTGCATATTTATTGTTCTAATGGGATTACTAGACTTAAAATGAGACCTAACTGTTAAATCTTAAAGAACAAAGGATTTCTATTACAAACACGAGCCTGTCACAAGCTAGGCACACAAAAAAACACGCAATCTCATTATTATTGCAAATGAATACAGCACAGTAGACCACAATTTTGTGCATTCTATGAATTTTTTATAGCCATCATACTTCATTTAATCTCCCCACCCTTTACCTCTGCTCTGATGATTTCCAAAGTGATCATGTGGTGACTTCAGTCTTACGTATCTTTCCCTGCTTCTGTTCCTCCTCTGTGATCTTAAAGAACAACCCCTTTGCATTCAAAATGACAGCATTCAGTGTCTGAAAGGTTTTGATAACATCTGCTGCCTTTTAGATCGGGTTTCTGTAGTGGACCAGTATGTGGAATATGGGTAAATGCAGTATTCCACCATTGTTACATTGCTTGTCCCTAGCATTTTTGCTCAGCTTTTGACTTCTTTTTATCTTTTTCTCATTAGTGTGGGTGGTATAGGGCTCCAAAATCTAAGTGTCAATTTGCA